ATGGCACCAGCCAATCAGCCAGATGGACAAAATTCCTACCAGGCCCCTGCCCCAACGGCAGATGACCCCATGACAGGCATAGCAAGGTCAACCCAAAACCCCTAAAATTAGGGTGGGTGGGCGGGTGATCCGATGCACACAGCGAAAGAGAAAGCTCAAAGCTGCGTGCACAGAATTTAAAATGTTCGATCCCTCCCACCAAATTGCAACATGGAATTTACCCCAGCAACCCAGCCATCCCATTGTTGCCACAGGCTTCCTTAGTAATCCTGCCTGGCAACAGAGGGGTGGCCTGGCAGACCCCACCGCAACACGTGCTCTCTGTGAGGGAGAACACACTTTCTCTAGTATGTCAGAGCTGAAGATGCTGGGATTGAACCCGGGGTCATTCACTTGCAAAGTGTGTGCTCTGAGCTGTGGCCAACTCCATAGCGCTGCCTCCCTGTGCATGCATGGCTTTCCTTCTTTTTCTCTGTCTTAGCTAATTTCCTACTAATAATATCTGCCTGCTTCTGCTGTATGTGGAATTACAGCTCAGGTTTCCTCAGAAGATCTGAAGGCTCAGGTACATCTATACTTAAAAGTATATTGAAGAAATACACGTTTTCTTGCATTTGTATTCACTGTTCTTCCATGTGGAATCCAATACAGTGTACATGTGATTCTCAAGTGCTCATCGCTCCACTTCAGAATTTGTGGCCTCAAATGCCTTCAGACCACACTTTGGGCCTATCCCCAGTCTACACAGTTCCTCATCCTTCCCCATACAATTAAAGGTCTCTTCCAATTTCACAGAATTATCATTCTTGTTCCCAAACCCCTCTTCTCCTTCCCCAGCTTTCTCCAGTTTTATACATCCTTTGTAGACCCTAACCTTGTAAGCATAATCAAATATGCAAGAAAAGAATACCTCTGTGCAGATGTCTTTATCGTATTGATGAAGAGCTGTTTTTTTGTTTTCTCAGTGTACCCTCAGCCCTAATTCACTCAAACCATCTAACACAAAAGACATATATAATTATACAGCAGGAGTGTGTTTTGTGTAAGTAGTCATGTTCAAAAGAGTGGGACTTTAGTACCATCCTAATTGTTTCACATGCAGAGAGAATTGAATACGAGCATTCCTTTAATAAATAGGAGCAGAGTCCTAAACAATAGCCGGATGCCAAGGTTACTGCTTTCATGTATTCCTTTTCAAAAGCAAGCAGAACAAAACCCAAAGGTCAGATTTTCTGAACTTGGACTGTCTGTATGTCTCTATTCTCTCCCCCCAACACACACACTTTCTTGCTCCCATTGTGACACTGCGTGATGGTACAGGAAGGGCAGGACTGACAAATGGCATAGCTGCAAACCTAGCTCTGAAGTATGTAAGCACAGAGTGAAAATGGCTCCCTGAGATTCTCTATTTACGGGTTATGAGACGTGTGTTTGTCAGTGTTTGTGTGTGTCAATATAGCTTCTTATTCCTCTTCAATGTTTTTATTTTTGCTGTTATAATTGGCACCATTAGAGCTCTGGCTTGACCACCATTCTTAGATCCTCTTCATAATGACATTCTGGGAGAATACCAGTCACTTTGAAGGGCAGTAGGGAAGAATGCTGTTGTGCTCAGGTTCTGCTTATGGGCTTCCCATGGGCATCAAGTCGACCACTGTGAGAAAAGGATGCTGGACTAGGTGGACCTCTGTCCCGATCCATCTTATGTTCCTGTGGAGAGCCTTAGGTAGGACAGTTGGAAGCCCTCCCCTGCACACATCTAGCTCTCCTCCACCATGAGCTTCCTGTGACTTAGTCCCTACTGAAATAGTGAATTGCTGGATGCATTGAAGTTGTTTCCAGCACAAGTTGGCGTCTCATCCTGCTAGAGCAAGTGTGGGGAAATTTATTTCACCTGATACAGTCATACCTCGGGTTAAAGTTGCTTCAGGTTGAGCGTTTTTGGGTTGCGCTCCGCAGCAACCTGGAAGTAACGGAATGCGTTACTTCCAGGTTTCGTCACTCGCGCATGCGCAGATGCTCAAAATGACGTCACACACATGCACGGAAGCGGCAAATCGCGACCCGCGCACATGCGCAGACGCAGGTTGCATTCACTTCAGGATGTGAATGGGGCTCTGGAACAGATCCTGTTCGCATCCAGAGGTACCACTGTATTAGGCAACTTTCATGGTGACACATTCCTGTGATGGGCAGGGCCAGTAGCAAAAGTGAGTGGATGTGACTCTCACCTTTGTCCAATGCTACATTCCAGCTATGCAAAAGTTAGGGGAAAGGGGGTCACCTAACAACTCAAAGCACCCTTGCTGAAATTACAGTTCCCATTATTTTGGGGGAGAAAGCCATGACTGTTCAAAGTGGTGTCATAGTGCTTTAAATATATCCTCTCTATCCAGCAGAGGAAGGCAAGATTTGAAGTGGCTCTTGTTCCTGCTGCCTTTTGTCACTCAACAGAGCAGTACAGAGGGTGGATGTGATAGACAGTAGCATGGTGGTGGCTGATGGGAACACACAAAATCTCATGACAATTGTCAGGAGCTACCTGGGTTAGAAATAGGAAACTCCCCATGTTCTTACAGGACCTTTTTGTCTAGGATGTGCAGACTGACCAGTCCAGAGGCTTTAAAATACTTCAGTGCCCAGAAAGCAACCACAGTTCTGTGGTTCATCAAAGGAGGCAGATGTACAGCAGTAGCTCAGTAGTTGCCACACTGATGGCCAGGGGCTCTCCAGGGATCTTTCTTGGAGATGTAGATGCCATGGATAGAATGAGTTTCAACTCCAGCATTAGTGGGACCTTTGGCAAAGACACCCCTAGAGGACACCCCTTATTTTATAATCCTCTCCACCTTGCTGCTTCCACCACTGCCCTTTCAGAAAGGGCAAAGCTCTTCTCACTGCTTGCATATTCCGACAGGACAGGTGAACCAGCAATAATAGGAAGGAGGAGGAGGAACAAGGTGAGGCACCTCTTCAGTTGGGCAGTGGGCCCTCTAATAGAACACGGCGTCTCAGTAAGTGCCAAACAATGCTAATTCCTGATACTGGGCTTGGATTGAACCTGGAGATCTTTGTATTCAAAACCATTGTTCAAAGCCTTCAAGCTACTGCCTTTTTGTCAAATAGAATGGTAAACAGTTGTATGGGTCCCCTGCCCTATTTGAATTCCCTCCCTAATGAGAACAGAAAATACCTTACAAAAGATGTACTTCTTTCAAAGAACAAATTGTCACATTTTTACTGCTTCTTTTTTAAAGCACTAGCTAAGTACTCAAATATCAAAACCGCTGTGGATTTAAGGTTTGGACTAATCATTGCACTGGATTCTAGTACATCGCTGTTGGGGTTGCCATAGTGAGTGCCTATGTGTCACACTGAACTTATTCATGTTTAGCATTAAATTGGAACATTGGGTACTGAGGATTTTAAGACATTTACATTAAAAAAAAACCACACACCCATATTTTGACTGGAACCTAAGTTACACCTTATTCATTCCAGCAGGCTCTAAATTTCTATGCATGAGTCATGCTGAAGTTACCATGATCACCATCAGGCAGTGTAATTTTATGCAAACAGAAAACACTCATATTAATTGAGACACCTTTTGTTCAGCAAAAGGCACAAACATGAAAACTAAAAAATCAGTGGTATTCTTCATGGAAGAAGATTATTTTAGGGCAACTTTTTGGTTGCCCATTTCAAGATGTCCTTTCTGCAAATCTCTCCCCTTTATGAAGATGATTGCAATGTGGCATTAATGGGGTCATGGCACAATACACATCCTAGGCATAGAGAACTGAGTCACATGCAGCAAGGTCTCAATAGCAACTCTGCAAATCATAGGTTTTCTCTCTAAGCTGCTTCTATGCATTGTTATGTTCCTCATTTGTTCAAATACGTAAATATAAATATAAGGCATGCAGGCAAACAACACAAGGTCAGATCCAAAAGATAGAAAACAGCTTTGCAAGGTTCATGAACCATGTATAGAGGATACTTGAGTGAAATATGGGACTCAGGTATTTAAATTAAACAAGAAGCATCAAGAAAAATCACAACATATGAAACAAGAACGTTTGTAAATAATAGAATATGCATACATTTGAATATGGTCTGAAATGGCAATTTCTGACTCGTCACAAACATTCTCATAGTGCCTTAATTCTGGTAAGGTTTGAATGGTTGCAGAAAAATCCAGAAATGGGCACCTTCAACCTGAAGAGGTCCTGGACCATGCTTAGATTGACTCACACTCCTGGAAGATTAGTGCAGTAATGAAGGTAATGGTTACATTGTCCACCTCAGCATAACACATGCCTTGAATATACTGTACCACAATAGCCACATTAGTAATTACTACACTTTACATGACCTAAGTAGACTTTATATTACCTAAGTACTTGAAGCATTAGAAGTAATGGTGAGACAAGGAGGAAGGGCGGGAGGGGGGATCCTTGCCTTTGTGTCACTGTGCAAGAAGAACAGGAAGCTTCTTCCATGTTTGATCTCACTGCGACAGCACCGTCACATTCCATAGTTTTCATCTCCTGGAGTCATTTCTCCAACCGCTCAGCTCCAGCTCTTGTCGAAACTCACTATCTTAAACAGATAACTGCAGACAAATTTCTGGGGTGATTTTTGTGTCACTCCCCCGCCCCCAGGGCCAACCACTAGGTATGCCTCTGCCTGTATCAAACCATTATCGAGATTTTGCAACTGGAAGAATGTAAGAGAAGGAGAGAAGAGGCAACTACTAAGACATCTTTAGGCCTTATTCAGACTTGTTTGAGTAGAGGTTAGCCTGACCCAGTAGGAACCTAGGATTGCAATCTTCATTTCAACATCTGAAGTACAATGCTGTATCTGTTTCTGACCTTACAAGAGTCTTGGATGACCTGAATGGAGTTGAGATAGAAAATAAATGCTGCACAATCATAGTTTCTTTATATTTCCTGAGTGAATTCCTCCCACCTTTACATCTTTTTAAAAGTTTCTGCTGTCTTTGTTCTACAAGGGAGAAAATTGGTTTTTTTCAAAGCTATATCATGTTTGCATGTGCTAACTCATAAATCAGTTCTAACTCGTTGCTACAACCATGTGTGTGTGTGTGTGTGTGTGTGTGTGTGTGTGCATGGAAATTCACACTTAAATAGTGTTTCTGAAGCACATCTGTGTTAGTGTTGTGCATACCACCTTGATCTGAGTCAGAACCTGATCCAGTTCTTTGGAGAAGCCCTGATCCAACCTGGGATGATCTGTAGCAGAACCAACCCAGATCCAGGTCACAAACAGATTGTATAGTCAGGCAGTTGGGAGGCGAGGAAAACGAGATGCGTGTCTCCTTCTCCTGTCTCCCACATATGTTTAATCAGGCTTTATAAATTGCATGACTTGTTACTAAAGATAGAACTATTTAAATACACATTTCAAATGTATTTTGATTTGGGAAGTGTGAAAGCCAGGTGATAACTAAGGCTGTAGTCCAAACTCCCACTCCCTGACCCTATCACCAGGGCATTGTGGAGTGGTATAGTCATTGCTGCCTCCACAGCCTGGAAGGTCAAACTGGTAGGTGGGAGTGTGGAGGATAATCAGGCCTGATCCTTGCACCAGCTTCAGACTGGCCTTCAGACCATACCCTCCAACATTTCTCCAGTGGAAACAAGGGTGTTCTATTCCATAACAACAATAATTCTATTATTTATACCTTGCCTGGCTGGGTTGCCTCTGGGCAGCTTCCAACATATATAAAGGTATAATAAAACATTAAACTCCCCCCCCCAACTTCCCTATACAGGATTGCCTTCAGATGTCTTCTAAAGGATGTATAGTTCCTTATCTCCTTAACTCGGGGTTGGCATAACTCCATACCCTCCAACATTTCTCTGATGAAAATAGGGATGTCCTAAGGAAAAGCAGGGCATTCCTGAATTAACTCAGAAAACTGGGGTGGCTTTTGTAAATCTGGGAATGTCCCTGGAAAATAGATACACTTGGAGGGTCTGTCAGACCCGGATTCATGATGATGGTTGGACCAGCTGAGGTTCCCAAGGATTCCACACTGATTTAGACTTTCAGGAGTTTCTGCTGGGTGCTGCTGGAGGGGATACCACTGGTGGACCTCCTTCCCACCAAAATGTTCCAGTGGCCAGCAGGAAGCAATCTCAGCCAGCAGTGCTGAGTGGAGTAATATCTCTAGCTTAATCCGCTACCCCTCTCACACACACACCCCAGTGGAAGGGAGATTTGGATTGTTCTATTAACATGGATTGCATTGGTTCATAAGGGAATCTGCAAATATTAAATTCCTCAAGTATCCCTAGGAGAAAGAAATCAAAGCAGTTTCATTGATGAAAACTTGAGGAGTTTGTAACCCAATTAACACAGGGTCACTTTACACTGTTTAGTTTGCAGCAGCTAAAGGACAGCTTGTTGCTCCAAGGTCTGGTTCACACATGTACATATTGTTGTAGATTTATGTATATTTTGTTACTTTACCCATGATGGCAGCCAGCTGAATGTGTGGATTTACTCTACTAGAAAGCAGCATAGTATCTGAGGTATTGTGAAAAGAGGTGAATGATGCAAACAGGGATAGGTGGATCTCTCTATTTCAATTTCTCTCAGTTTCTCACCTTTTCAACTTTAATCCCAACTCTCTGCATTTCCACATCAGTTTGTATTTTATAAAAAATAAAAAGGTCCTCAAGAAAATGCATCTGCATTTTAGGGTGAATTTCTTGTAATATATAATATTTGTACGAGTTTTTACAAAACACATTTCCCCAATATCATGCATTTTAATATTAATTTCACCTATATATACAGTTTTATGAACCCTTTACTCTCATGTGTGCCTGTGTGTGTGTACATTTCTGTACACAATGGCTGGAGAACTGCATTGCAAAACTGGGTAGGTTTGTCTTCAGATGTGAATTGAAACTTATTTTTTCAGCATCCCTATGTATCAGTAATACTGGTTACTTAGCAATTCTTGTTGTGGAAGATGTTCTCCATTTATTAGCCAAACTGCACTGATGTTGCAACTGTTCTCTCAAGCTTTCCCATTTCGGAGGGAGGTTTATTCTGCAGAACTGGGACAGGAGACTGTTGCATCTCCTGAATGCTATTAATATTAAAGGTTAAATTTATGGGAATTGGAAATCTGATGCCATCTCAGTGCAGGATGGCAAATCGATTGTTGTCAGCAATTTTAGATCAGCTTGCGTTATTATATAATCATTAAACAGCATTATTCCTTAATTGGTTTCCAAATGAAGAAATCAGTGTTATCACAAGTTGCTGCCAAATGGAAGGAAGAACAGACTCTTGGGATTGATCTCATCACGGGCATCATCCTTGCTCAGATTGCACATAGGGCACATTCCCTGAATGAAAAAGGATTGTACCTGCTGGCCCTATCCTGGCATGGACCCTTTCAGCAGAAGAACTGGTGAAAGTGTAAGTGTGCTCAGGTTCCACAACTCACCTGATTTTTCCAGGCATAACCATGAAACCCAATGAAGTGGGACCTCTGCTGATAAGAGTTTGGATCAGTGTATCCATTCAGATTAGTTCACCATTGTATACAATGTCATGCTAAGAGAGCTGCAGTAATGGTTGGAGCATTTCCATGTTGCCCATCATGTGATCGTGCCTTTTAGGGTTTTCCTATTGTGTTTTTGTCAGGCCTAGTTGGGGCATCAGGCTGCCCCACCATATACTTCAGGTTACATCAATGAAAATGCATGTGGGAATCTGGCAGGAATTTCTAGATCATTATAAAGACATGTCTTTTTAGATGGATGACCTAAGAATCAATATTGGACTCCAGGGAAGGTCAGAAACAGCTGGGATTCATAGCTTCCAGTGCACAGAGCCAGGGAAATGGGAGGGTGTACATCTGCCCAGATACTACACCATTGTCACTGTCAATTCTGCTCTGTTGCATGGAATACAATGACAGCAATGTAGCATAAGTGACAATAACCCATTTTTTATTGTATGTGGCATGCGTTGTGGTATGCCCGGTATTGCAGTAATGGAATTGTTTTGTGTAGGGAGCTGTGCCATTTTCTGACACCTTTGATCGTTCCACCCCCCTTGAAGTCTCTATTTCTGAAATCTTTGAGCTCAAGAGCATGGACAGCTAATGTAAAAAAATAAAGAGGCAATGTGTCCCTACCTTATCCCAGTCTGAGCTCTCATTCTCTCTCCCCCACCCCCGAACATTCCTCCAGCCCCTTTGAATCCCAGGAAGACAGAAACCCTCAAAGGAAGAATAAAGAAGAAAATGGAACGAAATAATAATAATAAAGAAATGGCAGACGGACAGTATGGCTACAGATAAGTATGTAGTACTTGGCAGCAAATTAAATTCATGATCAGTTGTTAAGGCAAAAAGGAAGAGAGAGGCATTAATACTGTTTGAAAAGGAAAAGTGAGTGAGCTCCCCCTTGCTAGCTGTGCTTTGTTCTGTTTCCCAGGTCCGCTCCACGCATTGTAATATCACCATCAGAGAAAGTCATTCGCTATTGCACAGATGTGACAATCTCTAACATGACAAAATGCCATTAGAGCTACCGCACACATGATAACAGGGGAGGGGGAACACTCTGTATTCTTTCTCCCTTTCTCATTCTCTCTTTCACTCTCTGAAACAAGGCTGCCCTCTACAGAATAGAACACTATTCACTCACAAGAAAAGTGACGGGCTGTTCTTGTGTGCCTTTTGTAGTGAACATTTCTGCCAATGTGGGGAATGTCTGTGGACATGAGCTGGAGTTTTGCACATATATGGTGTTTGCGTGTGTGCATTCACACGTGTGTCCATGTTAGAATCTGTATGAGTGAGAAAGCAGAACAGAAGAAAGGAATTTAGATGGAAGAGAATATGAGTTGGGTTGCATTTTACAGATTAACAGACCAGAGGAAAAATCTTCAAATGGACACATAGGCTATTCTAAGAGTTAGTAAAAAGCTGGGGTAGAATACACCCATGTGATTACACAGCAGACTGTCTTGTTAAAAGAAAAAAAGGGGGGGAGTATGTACAGTATTCTTTAATGTATGAAATCATACTACTTCAGTCTTTATGCAGAATCACATAATGCAGGTACAACTTCACTTGGATTTGCTTTCCATTTTGCCTAGGGTTTTGGTTTTTTTTTGAAACCTATTGAAAAGAGGGGTAGGGTTTTTTGGTGAGGCAGGGGGTCACCTGAGTTTTGATGTGTTGTCACTTTCACCCCTCATATGGAAACTTCTGCACTTATTGTTCTATCCCTGTGTTCCTTGCATTTTAGGGCAATTTGCTAATAAGCTTCAGAAATCCAGCTCTAACAGCTGAAATGTCCACTAACCCCTCCATCCAGCTCTAGTGGTGATTTTGTTTAAAGACATGGGCAAAGGTTCTCAGCCTCTCGCAATAATTACAGTGGGCAGTTGGGTTGTGGGAGGATGAAGTGAGGAGTTCTTGAGTGCTGCAAGCACCCTTGGGAACTTCATTATATCTCTGTAAGCTGCATACAGATCCAGGTGCTCTTGGAGGAACACCAAGGCTGGATCTAGACACATCAAATAAGCGTTTCAATCAAACACATTGTAAATTTAAACAGGGAAAACAGGTAGAGAAAAACAGGACTCCACAGCGCCATCTGGTGCCACAATGTTATATCACATATACAACACATATAAACCAACTTTTCTTTACCAGTCTAGCTGAGTCCCAAGATTCAGATCTAGTTTAGGCCCAGTTTTGACACAGAAACTGGTTTGGTAGCCCAGTATGATTACCTCTGTTCAGAAAGAGACAGGAGAAATGTGTCTTTGTTGATTCTCATATACCTCTAAACCTCTGATTTGATGCAATCAGCCATGGTATGTTTTGGAGTGGCTGTCCAAGATGTGGGTGGGTAGTACCGCTTTGTGGTGGTTCTGATCCTACTTGGATGGCTGTTTCCAGAGGGGGCGGCATGAAGAGTGCTATTTGGCCCCATGGAACCTTCAATGTGGGGTTCTTCAGGATTCAATTTTATCTCCCATGCTGTTTAATATCTACATGAAACTGCTGAGTGAGGTCATGCAGAGTTTTGGAGTATGTTGTCAGTGATATGCAGATGACAAACAGCTCTACTTCTCGTTTACCTCTTCAGGTATGGCAGTGGATGTGCTGGACTGTTGTCTTGTCTTCGTAGTGGACTGGATGA